CCTGTCTACCAGTCTGCCTGTCAACGAGTGTGCCTGTCCACCAGTGTGCCTGTCCACCAGTGTCCCTGTCCACCAGTGTCCCTGTCCACCAGTGTGTCTGTCCACCAGTGTGTCTGTCCACCAGTGTCCCTGTCCACCAGTGTCCCAGTTCACCAGTGTCCCTGTCAATCAATGTCCCTGTCAACCAATGTCCCAGTCCACTGGTGTCCCTGTCCACAGTGAAGCCAGTTTTACATCACCATGGACTGAGAGGACCAAGAAAGAAGCTCCAAAACCTTCCAGCTGGTCTGAAACCTGCAGCTGTCCACATGAACGAGAAACCGTCTTCTGGAGACAAGTTTGATGGTCAGACGAGACAAAGACTGAGACAAGAAAGATGTTTGGACGAGTCATGGTGAGGCCTTTAGATCTGAGAACACTGAACCAACTGTCAGGCACGGCGGAGGGAGCATCATGCTGGTTCTAAAGTGGATAGAACAGTGAAGAAGAACTACCTCCAAATTCTTTAAATCAGCATCTGGACAGTTGAAACTTGGACACAGTTGGGTCCAACAGAACAATGACCTCAAACATCAGAACTGGTTTCTGATTGGATAAATCAGGCTGACGTTAAGTTTCTGGACCCCGACTTGAACCTGACTGAACGTTTGAGGACTCTGATTAAAAGCCAGGTCTGAAACCAGGAAACCAACGGGTTTAACTGAACTCTACCAAGTGTGACCGAATCATCCCACTCTGTAAAATATAACGTTTCCACGCTCCTCGTCTCAACCCTTCACTTGACGTGCGGTTTGATTGGGGTTAGCTTTGCGAGCAGACGGAAGAACAGTCTTCTCTCTTCCAGTGCGTTCTCTTTCAGTTCCTGTTGTCCGAGTGTCCCTCTGCCCGGTGTTTTCTCACCTCCTCACCTGGATGTGTTCCTCTCCTTCAGCTATGTCTCACTATCTGGAGACATCCACCTCCTGCTGGCAGATTATAGATGATTGACAGCTCTGGCGTACCTGACTGAGTCACAGTCAGCTGTGTGTGTGTGTGTGTGTGTGTGTGCATGTGGGGGTTAACAAGTAGACGTAGAGATGGTGAAACTCCACTCCATTATCTCCTCACAACTGTGTGGAGCCAGATGGGTTGCCATGGAAACTCTTGTCTTGTTGTTCAGCGGTACACGGTGGGTAAAGCAGCAGCTGCACGAGACCGTAATGGCCACCGGCTGCTAATGGTCAGCTGAAGGAGCTTGTTGGGAGTATAAAATGCTCTGTCAGTTTTCTTTAACGTGTAAATGGTGATTCAGCTTCATTGTTTCCTGCTTTTTATTTTTCTGTTTGTTTTGTACAATTCAAACGCCTCTGCACACTTTGTGATATTTTAGCTGTTCACATATCAAAAGGTTCGGCTCATTCAGGAGGTGGGTGCTGTGGTTTTTGGTTTATGTAACATGTAACTTTTATACTTAGCTTAATTTTATTTTTAAATATTTTCCCACAGAAGCACATTTAAATCTCTTTAATCCTTTCTAAACTTTGTTTACCTTGAAGTCTGCTCTTTTTTTGTCTTGTGCTTATTTTAGCCACAACCTTGTTACCAAAATGTAGTTTTCGCTATCATTTAGCTACTTTTACCTCTGACCCAGCATTTCTTGTTTCTATCTTTAAGCTTTTTCAGCTATTGTTCTGCTACTTTAAGATAAGAGAACTTTATTGATCCCACAGGAAATTGTTAAAAGCTAGCCTTTTGCTACTTTATTTGTTAGCTACTTTTCTACCTTTAGCTTTCAGCTATCACTCTGAAACTTTATTTAACCTTTTACTACTTTTGGGTTTTTATTTATCATTTTGATGTCTTTGACTTTTAACTTGCGCTTTGCTTAGTTTAGCCTGTGTTTTGTAACTTTTCGCTTTTAGCTAACATTTTGCTGGTTTGGTCTTCAGCTAGTTTTTGCTGCATTCGTTTATAAGCTAGTTTAGCTTGTTTTTTTTTTTGTGTGGGAATTTTGCTACTTTTAGTTCCTACCTTGTGTTTAGCTTCCTTCAGCTAGTGCTTTGTTCTTTTATTTACTAACTAGTATTGTTCTTCTTTTAGCTTTTCTTGACATAATCTCTCACCCAGATATGACACGCCCTCCTCGGGGGTGATGGTTCCGTACTTCACCATCATCTTCACAAAATCTATCAGCGTCTTCATGATGGTGATCAGCGTTTCTCTCTCCTGAACATCTTGATCTGCAGAAACAGGAAGGAGATGACATTAGGACTGGTTTCCATGGTGACGGTGTCCCCACATGGTGTCTGACTGTGAACTCCCTGCTGATTGGATCATAAATAATTAGTTCAGTGTGTGAGGGAGAGTGATCCGTGTTATTTTTATTTTAGTGGAAACAGCAATTTTAAAGACCTGGCTGGGTTTTAAAACATTTTAAATGATTTAAAACGTCTCTCGGATGTTTTTACCTGAATCGAGGCTTTTGAGCAGCCGGTAGAAGTTCGGGAAGTACTGCAGGTCCTGGAGTCCATCTCCAGGACTCACCTCGTTCCCTCCGTCTGCATCTTTGTCCCAGGCATTGTCACCTGCATCTTCCTCTGCGTCCCTGTCCACCTCACCCTCCACCGCATCGTCATCGTCTTCTTCCTCGTCATCCTCGTCTTCGTTGTATCGTCGCCTGGGTGGTTCCCATGTGTCCTGGAAACAACAGAGTCATTGTAGCTGCAGTGGCCATCTTTAATGTTATCACTGTCATCATGACGTCTGTGCAGGTTCTACCGTGTCTGGACTCTGGTCGCCCTGCTCTCCCCCAGTGTCCTGGTTCTGATCCACGTCTTCAATTTCATTGTTCTTGGCGTTCTTGGTGATGAGGTCCTGCAGAGCCTCGGCCACCTGGTACTCCAGAGTGTCCGCCTGGTTTTCTGTGATCTGCAGGAAAACAATGCGGCTGTTCAGATATGTTTTGTTACGAATCTGGTTTTAATCCGTTTCCAGTAGACCCAACACACACAATATAACAGACATAAAGACACATAAATAATATTTACAGGCAGACCTGCCTCTAACCCTGTGAGACAGCTGAAAAACAGTTAAACTGGTTTTAAACAGCAGCTCTGAAGAGCCTCATGGAAACTGGTTTGTCTCTGTGTCTCATCGACTCATCATCAGAACCAATCAATCTCAGGAAGCCATAATTGTTATTATTGAGTGTCAGAAAAAGTTGTTCACAGCTAAAAAATCAGGGAGCAAAAAGCAATTTACACACATCTCAGCTGTCAGGATGGAACAGGGTCGGCAGGAGAGATGGACCGAGGTCCTGCTGGGAAAATGACACGAAGAGGAGCTTCAGTTTGGGTCTTACCAGGCCCAGTTTCAGCAGTTTGGTGACGATCCTGTCAAACACCCCTCTGTCGTCTTCCTCGTAGATCTTGTTGGCAATCTTCTGCACGATGTCCTCGGCTGTCAGCGGCGTGCCGTCGACCTGACGGAAGCTTTCTGGGTCGTCTGCGGTGGATTTTAAATATTACAGAGAACATAATTAAAAGTCTTCAGCTGCAGACAGGACAACAACTCTTTTCTGCTGAAGCACCATTATTCTGACACGCTGAGTCAGCGTTCTCACTGGCGTCCTCCTGTTTATGGATTTTTTAAATGTTTTTTTTTTAACCAAACTACTGTACTTCTGCAGATTTTGTGCTAATATAGCTGTTTCTGCATAAAAACATGTGGCTCGTTCAGAACATGTGTGCTACAACTTTTGGTTTTTGTAAGTTTTATCATTTCTAAAATATTTAGTTCAAAATAAAATTCACCATAGAAATACATTTAAATTGCTTTCCTTCCTATAAAAATATTTAAAATCTTCAGTTATCTAGCTCTGATTTGATCTTCTTAAGCCATTCTTAGCTTTAAGCTGCCATTCTGCTACTATTAGTTACAGTTCTACCGCTTTTAGCTTTACGCAAATATTATTATTTTGCTTTTAGCTACTGTTCCACTCATTTTAAATACTGCATTGCTGATTTTAGTTTTAGCATCTGCTTTGTGACTTGCTATGATTCTTTTATTATTACCATCAGTTTCACTAATTGCTGCTTTTAGGTTCAAGCTACTGTTCAGCTGCTCAAGGCTTTAGCTTGTATTCTGCTGATTTCAGATTGTGCTATGCTGATTTTAGCTTGTTTCCTGTTCATTTCCGCTTGTATTCTCCTGATGCCAGCCAGTTATATTCATTTCAGCTTGTTTTCTTTTGATTTTAGCTTGTTTTCTGTTCATTTCAGCTTGTACTCTGCTGATACCAGTATGTTATATTCATTTCAGCTTGTGTTCTGATCATTTCAGCTTGTATTCTGCTGATAGCAGATTGTGTTATAATCATTTCAGCTCGTGTTCCATTGATTTTAGCTTGTTTTCTGTTCATTTCAGCTTGTACTTTGCTGATTTTAGCTTGTTTTCTGTTCATTTTAGCTTGTATTCTGCTGATACCAGCCTGTTATATTCATTTCAGCTTGTGTTCTGTTGATTTCAGCTTGTTTTTTTGTTCATTTCAGCTTGTGCTATGTTACTTTTAGCTTGTTTTCTATTCATTTCAGCTTGTATTCTCCTGATACCAGCCTGTTACATTCATTTCAGCCTGTGTTCTATTGAATTTAGCTTGTTTTCTGATCATTTCAGCTTGTACTCTGCTGATGTTAGCTTGTTTTCTGTTAATTTCAGCTTGTATTCTCCTGATGCCAGCCAGTTATATTCATTTCAGCTTGTGTTCTATTGATTGTAGCTTGTGATTTGCTAATTTCTGCTCACATTCTGCTGATTTCAGCTTGTGCTCTGCTGATTTTTTTCTGTTCTGCTTGATTTAACAGTAACCACTCAGTTGTAGCGTCATCAGTAAATTTCAGCACTCAGCAGTCACATCACTTAATGTTGTATTCAGATTTTGTTAGCTTTGGTAGAAAACATGCTAAATACGGATCAAAATGTCGGCTGGTCAGCTTCAAGAATGCTGTTTTTTTCTGGAGCTTTATAAGATTTCTTCAGGAATCGTCACACCTGTAGTTCTTCTTTCTGTGTTCGTTTTAGTACAAAATGCTGAAGCTGGATGTAGTTTATTTCTGAGCAGGTGAAAAGTACTTGTCGCTCGTCACGTCAGGCGAGACTTTTCCGACAACAGTCCCTCCTGATGCCCAACACTGCCGCTCCTCAGCTTCGGCTTATTTCCATCTCGCTGTAGAAAACCTGCCAAATGTGGTTGCAACGTGAAAAGCTCGACCGTCAGCTCTTTGGCTCAGAGTTTTGTCACGTCGGCGGGAAAACGTGCACTTGTTTCAGCTAATCCATCCATTTAAAGCTAAACAAACACCTCACAGAAACTGAGACACTGGAACCAAACGCAGGTTCTTCAAGAACCGTTTGCTTTTGTCAAGGTTGGGATGAGAAAGTGAAGGTGAGCCATGATTCACCACAGAGGATAATCCTTTTGCCTCAGACGCTGATCCTCATTAAACACGTGTTTCCTCTGGAGCGCGCAGCCCGTCCTTCATGATGGAAGTAAGACCAAGACCCGGGTGGACCAGAACAGAAACCGGTGCACTTAAATGCATCGACCTGAAGCTTCGATGAGTTTTGGTCTTTTGATCTGGCCCCCATCCACCTTTGCTTTTGTTAAAAACTAGCTGTTCATGGTGGATCTAGTTCAGGTAAACTGCTTGGCTTCCTGGTTCTGACCCGCTTTTCATAATTTCAGAATCTTAATGCTGGTCAGTTCTGATGTTCATCCTTGGACTTTTCTTTTGTTCTGACTGTCGGTCAGTCCGAGGCAAGCGCTGTCGAACAAATCGTTTTTATGCTGGCAAAAATCCACAACTAGCTGCAGTCAGTCATGATCACTAACAGGAAGTTAACAGGACTTTTCAAATTAAAAGAACCACCTGCCATCAGATTTAGGTGATTGTGTTTGAGACTGTATGTATAATTGTGACCTGTTCAAATTAATTAACTTTTTATTAAAGGAATTAATTTACACCTCGGAGGACTGGATGGAAACTTTTGATCACGACTGTGTACACAGTGTGTGTAGTTGGTTTTAATTTAACAGGAAGTGCTTTATTAGTTTGCATGTGAGGTCAATGACCCTCCTGCTGCCCTGGGGTTGTTTTGAGCCCAGGGCAGCAGGAGGGTTGAACAAGCTTTGATCTAAACGTGGACAGTTTTGACTTGAACCTGGTGAAAACTGAGCTGCGTACCCTGGTACTTGTCGTAATCCATCTTGTTTTTGGTGGAGTCGTAGTCCTCAGCAAGACGCCGGCTCTTTGTCGAGTCGGACTCATCTGGAACGTACCGATCCGCCTTCTGGACCAGAACCTCCCGGGTCTCTGCTGGTTTCTGGCCATCAGCCAGAGACTTGAGCATGGTGAGGTCATCTCTGCCCGGTTCGGACACGGCTGCGTCCTTGGAGGGCAGCTGGATCTCTGACGGGAAGCAGAAAACAAACACGTTGAGGTCTGGGTCGAGCGGATCGACAGATCTGCAGCTCTGTCTCAGAGGACGGGTTCTCTGGGCCCTGACCCCGGCCTCCTCTCACCTGCAGCCTTCACGCCGTCGGCCTCGGCGATCTGAGGAAAAGACAAACATTAATCTGAGGACGTGAGCTCTGATTATTACTGTTTGTCAGACGGCCATAAAGCCCGTTCTGCCGGATATTGGATACGTGACCCACCTGCTGCTGCAGCGGCCGTTCTTCAGTCAGCTGCCTGTTGGACACCGTTTGAGCTGCAACACAAACGAAAACATTTTAACACGTTAAAAATGTTCCAACGTGGACAACAATCATTATAACGAGAACGTTTCTGCAGAAATCTGTCAGGAAGACGTGTTAAAAAAACAAAAAAAACGTTAACGCTACTGCCTGTGGATCATTATGGTCACCATGGTAACCACACACCTGACTCCTGAGTTATTGACAGGCAGACATAAAGTAAGCCTCAAACAGTTTCTGTGAGGCGTCAGATCTGAAAAGGTTTGGCAGCAGGAGGTTCTGATGGTCACACAGGTTCTGTTTGATGGTTCTGCTGGGTTTTATTGAGGAGACATGACCTATCTGTGGGAGTTTGCTCGTTCGCTCTTTGTGTTTGGCAGGATATCAAAGAAAACCATCCGGCCTGCAGCAGTGAGCGAAGACAAAAACCTGATGTTGATTTTGGACAGTTGTGGAGTAAGAAAAGGTCTGAACGTTCCAGTGAAACCATCAGAGTCGACAGTAAAACCTGTAAACTCCTCCATGTTCAGCTGTTTGTGTAAAAAGAGTTAACGTTCTTCAAACAGCAGTTCAATCCAACTTCCTGTGAGCCGTTTAAACTCTGATGATGGTTCTGCCGTGAAGTCGGAGCTGCAGGTCCAAACAGGACCGGGTTTACGTATCAATCTCACCAAACCTCTGATCTCCATTATTTTTTTATCACTGTTTGTGTAAAAGCACTGCCACCAAAAGGCACGGCACAATAATCCTGATAAAGCTGCTGGTGCAGATAATCTGCAGGGTGTGTATTTAAACGTTGTTTAAAGACACACAGAACAAATAACAGAATAAAACAACCATAAGGTTCTTTATCTGTGTGTTTGTTGATGCTGCTCTTCCAAATGATTGGAATAAATGAAGCTTCCAGGTTGATGTGACGGGTTTCTGCTCTCCACCAGAGGCAGATTTTAATCGGATTACCAAACAAAAGATTAAACTGTGGCAGAAAATAGAGCCTGAGGAGAGCAGGCTGAGCTCAGAGCAACTTTCAGAGCCCCCCCCCCCACCACCACCACCACCACCACCACCACCACCACCACCACCAACACACAGAGGCTTCTCACTGTGATTCAGTCATTCTGACAGGAGAATATGCAGGAAACACGAACAACTTCCTCCTGTTTCGAAATAGACTTTTACCACCAGAGACATTATTATTATTATTATTATTATTATTATTATTATTATTATTATTATTATTATTATTATTATTA